CTATATTTATTTAAAGTTACGCATTTTGATGTGACGTCACATTTCTCAACCCCCCCTCGTCACACATCGTCACAAATGTCTGACTCCCCCCCCCCCCCCCCTAGGTGCGTGACGTAATTCAAGGACGTCCTCTAAATAACCTAACCAACATGGACGTCCTCTCAATAACCTAACCAACATGGACGTCCTCTAAATAACCTAACCAACATGGACGTCCTCTAAATAACCTAACCAACATGGACGTCCTCTAAATAACCTAACCAACATGGACGTCCTCTAAATCAGTGCTCCCCAACCTTTTTGGCACCAGGGACCGGTGTCATGGAAGACAATTTTTTCACGGACGGGGGGGGGGGGTCATGATTGGGTCTTTCCCCCTTTTCAAAGAAGCTGACTGAGACAAGTGCGCAGTGCGGGAAAGAGGCGCTCATCTCTTGCTGTGCGGCTCGGTTCCTAACAGGCCACGGACCGGTACTGGTCAGCGGCCCGGAGGTTGGGGACCCCTGCTCGTCTCAATGAGCTCACCAACACGGACGCCCGATCAGTAATCTCCACCGCCGCCGTGTGGCCACGTGGTACAACTGCAGTGCCACAGTGCGGGCGAGGCAGCTGCGGCACTCTGCGCTGTCTTCGCCGAGGGGGTCCGAGGGGGGTTGGGGGGGGGCTCTGGGGTGCATCCCGGGGGGGTCAGGAGGGGTGCGGGCACCTCATCGCGTGCCGCTTTCAGATGCGCTTCTGCGGCCATCGCTCTTCCTTCCGATATTTGGAAGACATTGGAGCTCTGCACTTTTAAATGTCTTTGACAACCCATTTCTTTAGAACTGCTTTTTGTGTTTAGTTTGTTGTTCTTCACCAGCAGCCAGCACCTCCGATTATCGCGGTTGGCTACGTACGGTGCGAAAGAAGTTCAACATACATGTTGTATGTTAGTGCTGTATGTTGTGCATTGGTGTTGCAGCCAGCCAGAAACCGGCGCGACCAACAATATCCCCAAGCTCTGTGGTCCTACATTGGGATAATTTGTCGATACCGCGTTGGCAGTGGTGCACAAATAAAACTCAATGAACACATTCGTTAATACCACGGCTGCCTTAAGAGGAAAATATATCATGGGCGATGTTTGAAGCAATGGGCCCCATTGCATGGCATATGTTTGCCCAGTTCCATTCAAGAGCGAGTATGCATGTGAGGGGAGAGAACCAACGCGTGCGAGGGGGAAACATTAAATCCCCTCGAGATGGAAATGTCTCCGCTTGCTGCGCTTCCAGACCCTGGATAGGCCAGGAGATGGCGACCTTAGCGACCACGGGGAGTTTCACAACATTTGTGTGGTGATCCACACGTGCACATACACACAGACTCACACACTCACACAGACTCACTCACTCACACAGACTCACTCACTCACACAGACTCACACACTCACACACTCACACAGACTCACACACTCACACAGACTCACTCACTCACACAGACTCACTCACTCACACAGACTCACTCACTCACACACTCACACAGACTCACACAGACTCACACACTCACACAGACTCACTCACTCACACAGACTCACACACTCACACAGACTCACTCACTCACACACTCACACAGACTCACTCACACAGACTCACACACTCACACAGACTCACTCACTCACACAGACTCACACACTCACACAGACTCACTCACACAGACTCACACTCACACAGACTCACACATTCACACAGACTCACACACTCACACAGACTCACTCACTCACACAGACTCACACACTCACACAGACTCACTCACTCACACAGACTCACACACTCACACAGACTCACTCACAGACTCACACACTCACACAGACTCACACACTCACACAGACTCACTCACTCACACAGACTCACACACTCACACAGACTCACTCACTCACACACTCACACAGACTCACTCACACAGACTCACACACTCACACAGACTCACTCACTCACACAGACTCACACACTCACACAGACTCACTCACACAGACTCACACACTCACACAGACTCACACACTCACACAGACTCACTCACTCACACAGACTCACACACTCACACAGACTCACTCACTCACACAGACTCACACACTCACACAGACTCACTCACAGACTCACACACAGACTCACTCACTCACACAGACTCACACACTCACACAGACTCACTCACTCACACAGACTCACTCACTCACACAGACTCACTCACTCACACAGACTCACACTCACACAGACTCACTCACACAGACTCACACATTCACACAGACTCACACACTCACACAGACTCACTCACTCACACACTCACACAGACTCACTCACTCACACAGACTCACTCACTCACACAGACTCACACAGACTCACTCACACAGACTCACACACTCACAGACTCACACACTCACACAGACTCACACACTCACACAGACTCACTCACTCACACAGACTCACACACTCACACAGACTCACTCACACAGACTCACTCACTCACACAGACTCACACACTCACACAGACTCACTCACACAGACTCACACACTCACACAGACTCACTCACACAGACTCACACACTCACACAGACTCACTCACACAGACTCACACACTCACACAGACTCACTCACACAGACTCACACACTCACACAGACTCACTCACTCACACAGACTCACAGACTCACACACTCACACAGACTCACTCACTCACACAGACTCACACAGACTCACTCACTCACACAGACTCACTCACTCACACAGACTCACACACTCACACAGACTCACTCACTCACACAGACTCACTCACTCACACAGACTCACACACTCACACAGACTCACTCACACAGACTCACACAGACTCACACACTCACACAGACTCACTCACTCACAGACTCACTCACTCACACAGACTCACACTCACACAGACTCACTCACACAGACTCACTCACACAGACTCACACAGACTCACACACTCACACAGACTCACTCACTCACACAGACTCACACACTCACACAGACTCACTCACACAGACTCACTCACTCACACAGACTCACTCACTCACACAGACTCACTCACTCACACAGACTCACACACTCACACAGACTCACTCACTCACAGACTCACTCACTCACACAGACTCACACTCACACAGACTCACTCACACAGACTCACTCACACAGACTCACTCACTCACACAGACTCACTCACTCACACAGACTCACACACTCACACAGACTCACTCGCAGACTCACACATTCACAAAGATCCCCCGTATATCCTGAACAGACTGTTGGGGCAAGTGCTGTTAGCGAGCACCTATGCACGGCACACGAGGGAGTGGGTATCCAGGACCACGCCCGGCCGCCTTTGTCTCCCTAGTGACGATGTTTACACAAAGCGCCGCGCTAACCGCTGCACCGCCGCTCCCCACTGTTACAGTGCAGCACTGTCCCCAGGTAAGATGGCCGCCCGCCCCCACGTGACTCGGCGTGCGCACTCGGCACGTGGTGTCAGCACCACGTGGTGTCACCCAGCGCGCGCGGTCTCGCGCCGCCATCACTGCTCACGGAGTCGCTGCCGCGTGAGTCTCTGGGCCTCTGTGTGAGTCTCTCTGTGTGAGAGTCTCTGAGTCTATGTGTGAGAGTCTCTGTGTGAGTCTCTGTGTGAGTCTCTGTGTGAGAGTCTCTGTGTGTGAGTCTCTGTGTGAGTCTCTGTGTGAGTCTCTGTGAGAGTCTCTCTGTGAGAGTCTCTGTGTGAGTCTCTGTGTGAGTCTCTGTGAGAGTCTCTGGGTGAGAGTCTCTGGGTGAGAGTCTCCGAGTCTCTGGGTGAGAGTCTCTGGGTGAGAGTCTCTGAGTCTCTGTGTGAGAGTCTCTGAGTCTCTGTGTGAGAGTCTCTCTGTGTGAGTGTCTGTGTGAGGGTCTCTCTGTGTGAGAGTCTCTGAGTCTCTGGGTGAGAGTCTCTGAGTCTCTGGGTGAGAGTCTCTGAGTCTCTGTGTGAGAGTCTCTCTGTGTGAGTCTCTGTGTGAGGGTCTCTCTGTGTGAGAGTCTCTGAGTCTCTGGGTGAGAGTCTCTGAGTCTCTGTGTGAGAGTCTCTGGGTCTCTGTGTGAGAGTCTCTGGGTGAGAGTCTGTGTGAGTCTCTGTGTGAGAGTCTCTGAGTCTCTGGGTGAGAGTCTCTGGGTGAGAGTCTCTGGGTCTCTGTGTGAGAGTCTCTGGGTGAGAGTCTCTGGGTCTCTGTGTGAGAGTCTCTGGGTGAGAGTCTCTGGGTCTCTGTGTGAGAGTCTCTGAGTCTCTGGGTGAGAGTCTCTGAGTCTCTGTGTGAGAGTCTGTGTGAGTCTCTGTGTGAGAGTCTGTGTGAGTCTCTGTGTGAGAGTCTCTGAGTCTATGTGTGAGAGTCTCTGTGTGAGAGTCTCTGTGTGAGAGTCTCTGTGTGAGTCTCTGTGTGAGAGTCTCTGTGTGTGAGTCTCTGTGTGAGTCTCTGTGAGAGTCTCTCTGTGAGAGTCTCTGTGTGAGTCTCTGTGTGAGTCTCTGTGTGAGTCTCTGGGTGAGAGTCTCTGGGTGAGAGTCTCCGAGTCTCTGGGTGAGAGTCTCTGAGTCTCTGTGTGAGAGTCTCTGGGTGAGAGTCTCTGAGTCTCTGTGTGAGAGTCTCTGAGTCTCTGTGTGAGAGTCTCTCTGTGTGAGTGTCTGTGTGAGGGTCTCTCTGTGTGAGAGTCTCTGAGTCTCTGGGTGAGAGTCTCTGAGTCTCTGGGTGAGAGTCTCTGAGTCTCTGTGTGAGAGTCTCTCTGTGTGAGTCTCTGTGTGAGGGTCTCTCTGTGTGAGAGTCTCTGAGTCTCTGTGTGAGAGTCTCTGGGTCTCTGTGTGAGAGTCTCTGGGTGAGAGTCTGTGTGAGTCTCTGTGTGAGAGTCTCTGGGTGAGAGTCTCTGGGTGAGAGTCTCTGGGTCTCTGTGTGAGGGTCTCTGGGTGAGAATCTCTGGGTCGCTGGGTGAGAGTCTCTGGGTCTCTGTGTAAGTCTCTGGGTCTCTGTGTGAGAATCTCTGTGTGAGAGTCTCTGGGTCTCTGTGTGAGGGTCTCTGTGTGAGAGTCTCTGGGTCTCTGTGTGAGAGTCTCTGTGTGAGGGTCTCTGTGTGAGAGTATCTGGGTCTCTGTGTGAGTCTGGTTCTGGTGCAAGAAACGCAAGAATGAAGCCTGCCAATGCCCCCCTCTGCTCCACGTGGCATGGCACTGCAGCAACTCCCCGCCCGTGTGGGCCCGTGCAGTTGCACCGCCTGCACACGCGGCAGGAGACGTGGCCGCTGGTGGTGTGCCGCGTGCTCGTAGTTTTAGTGGACTGTATCGTCCTTGCCCGCACAGGAAATCAAAGGTAATTGTTTATAGCACGGCCTACATGCGCGTGCGTTTTGTGTTTTAGTGTTTGTTCTTGCTCCGCACATCAGATTAGCACCATTGGCTACGTACGGTGCGAAAGAAGTTAGTTTAAATTTCTACATCCGTTAAAGGAGTAGATGATGGAAAATGTAAAACTGAAGTCTCGCGTAAGGCAGTGTGGCGCTTACAGAAAGACGCGCCTTTAGCTCGTGCAGTTACAGTCGTCTCAAGGAGACGCCACATGAAGATGCGTGAAGGTAATTTAATTTCTGACGGGGAGAAACAGCGGCAACTCGAAATATAAACCATTCTTGGGAGCCTCCTTTAGGTCAGTTCGGCCTTAAATGAGTACTCGGTTCATTGCGAGTGTAGATTCGGGAGACAAAGACGGCTGTGATTCTGCTTACACGACCACTAACAGCACGCTGCTGGCCTTCATAGAGGCTCACTCGCTACGCTTGATGTTCAGAGCTAAAAGTAGCGAATTGAGTCCCCGAAAGAAGATCTGAGCAGGCCATAAAATAAGGGACAATAAACTCAGAATAGTTTTTTACGCTTTTCATCGTCAACGCCTGCTGTTGTATCATTTCAAGCGGCATTGGTTCAACACAAGCATGTAAGAATTGTTCCAATACCACCAGGTAAATTAGTTGCTAGATGTACTGTTAATGTATGAAGTTCATAGTTTAAATAAAAGTAATCTAATGTCCGCGATTTTGAATTATCCGCGGCTGTCCTCCCTGTCAGCACGAATAATCGATAATCTACTTTATTAGCTGACGTCCAAAGAAAATCCTAAATGAATGAAAATCAGGTCTACGATTGTCATTCAATTATAGACCTGATTGAATGAAAATCAGGTCTATCGTCATAATTACAGACCCCTTAATCTGTGATGATGACGAGGAGTGGCCGCTTTCAAATGGGAAAAGTCGACGCTGTCTTTGCGCGTCAGGTGCTGCCTTAGCACTTGTTCTGATCCCATGCCTTGGTTGGGATTTTAAAAAATGTCTGTTTCCCAGTGGAGCCTGGGACGCGTCACGCAGCCGCCCCTACCTGCTGCCGGTGTGCGGACACGCGTCTCGTGTGGAGCATGCCTGCAGGACAAAGGCACGCGCACGCGCGGGCTGCGAGTTTGTGTGCCCGACCTGCAAGGTACAGCTACGACAGTCGTATGGCCACGTTGTGTACGAGTGTGTATGTCAGGGTGTTTGTATCTGCCTGCATGTGCACAATAGTGCAGCGGTTAGCGCTACGCTGCGCTACGAACCCGGCGACACGAGTTCGATTCCCGCTCATGGCCGCCAACACTGGTGACGATTATATGAACCAGTCCTGGACCTCCCCTAAAGTTGACTCGGCGTCAAATGAGTACCTGGTACAGTGTGTAAACAACGCCACTGGGGAGACAAAGGCGGCCGGGCTTGATGTTGGCCAAACACCCTCTCGCGCCGTGCCGGCCTTCATGGATGCTACTCACTATCGGCACTTGCCCCAACAGTCTGTTAAGGCTACACGGGGGATCTTTGTCTTTTGTATGTGAACGTGTTATCAAAACGCCTCTCGGCTGGTCTCGTGTGAAGTCCCCAGTGGTGTAACTGGGTGCTACTGCAGTGGATAAAACAACCTGCAAATATGAGCCAAAGATTTATTTGTTAACAGTGAAAGCGAAGTTTTTCAGGCATTGTCAAAAACATTTTGCAAGGGACCAGAATGGATGAATCCGAGTCAACGACACAAGATGTCGCTTGCTTCTGTCTGTGATTTGCAGTTACGAGTTTTACTCACTGCCACGTTTGCAATAGTTTCCTTGTATTTGGCAAGCAATCGGAGAGGGACAAACGATGATGCCATCTTTTTTGTACGCTTTCTCTTTTTGAAAATGTTGCCGCTTGACATTTTAATGGTACACTACCAAGCTGTCAGTTGAATATGTAGCAGGCTTTCGCGACCAATGTCCATAATCGAGGTTTTTGGGTTAGATTGCGTAAATATAATAAATGTCGTTAATCCCGGCACCACCCAATACGGTCAATTAGTAAGGTTTGTCACGTAACCAAAACATGCCAATTCATGACTAGTACAGCACATCGTTGGAAAGTAAAGATGTATTAAAATACAGGAAAATATATTGTTATACGGCATTCTACAATCTGGAATGCTCTTCACTAACCAGCATCTGTCGTAAACGGCAATGCGAATCTTCCTTCATGTACAGACAGTCCCCAGGTTGCGAAAGATCTAACTTGAGGAAATCTAACCTAATGGGAATGCTTCCATAAATCACGTAACAATAAAACATCGATATTCAGACATTCTTGCGTTAATTACGTAAGCGCAAATATTGCAGCACAGTGAGGTTTGCGGATGAATACCGTGGAGCGAGACGTAAGGCGAGGGGCAACCTTACGCCTCGCTTGAGCTCCACGAGGGTTAAGGCATTTATTGTCGTCTTATGTAATTCTTTCATTTCGTAGCATTATGTCATTGCTTGTTTTATATGCTGAGAGCTTGTTTTTCCCCATGTTTCTATTGCTAGTTTTCTTCATTTAAGTTTATTTCATGAGTTTTTTTACTGTATGTACTTTATTTAACACAATTCTACTTCAGTTGCTTATGCACTCAGCCCAGTATCAAGGGGTTATCTGTGTTGTGTCCAGCCCCATGGCAAGGGGGGGGGGGGGTAATCTGTGTTTTGTCCAGCCCCGTGGCAAGGGGGTATCTGTGTTTTGTCCAGCCCCATGGCAAGGGGGGGTATCTGTGTTGTGTCCAGCCCCGTGGCAAGGGGGTATCTGTGTTGTGTCCAGTCACATGGCAAGGGGGGTATCTGTGTTGTGTCCAGCCCTGTGGCAAGGGGGGGTATCTGTGTTGTGTCCAGCCCCGTGGCAAGGGGGGGTATCTGTGTTGTGTCTAGCCCCGTGGCAAGGGGGGGTATCTGTGTTGTGTCCAGCCCCGTGGCAAGGGGGGTATCTGTGTTGTGTCCAGCCCCGTGGCAAGGGGGGTATCTGTGTTGTGTCCAGCCCCGTGGCTAGGGGGGTATCTGTGTTGTGTCCAGCCACATGGCTAGGGGGGGTATCTGTGTTGTGTCCAGCCCTGTGGCAAGGGGGGGGGTATCTGTGTTGTGTCCAGCCCCGTGGCAAGGGGGGGGGGGTATCTGTGTTGTGTCCAGCCTTGTGGCTAGGGGGGGTATCTGTGTTGTGTCCAGCCCCGTGGCTAGGGGGGGGTATTGGTGTTTTGCGATGACGCCTACTCACACCTTCGTCTCCTTCGTCAGGTCCCCGGCCTCCTACCTGCAGCCCGACGAAGCGCTTGGAAATTTCCTACCCACGTGAGCATGACCGCTCTCCCCCTCGCCTCTGCGGCCGCTCGGCTCATCTCCGTGTGCGCGATAATGCGTGGTGACATGTTTATTGCATTTCTCTTTTTTTATACTAACTGCTATAAACTAAACTTTTTTTATTTTAAGTGCCTACTGAACTATATAGCTATTTTTCAGAAGTGACCTGGCTACTGTAATAAAAGACTCCGTTGGTCACTGTTGGTCTCCTTTGGCCTTTTATTTAGTTTCTTTCTCCGCACCCCGCTGGTCCTGTCCGCGGACCAGCGTCGTCTAGCGCGCGCCCCGCACGCGCGACCTCATCGGCTCCTCCACTCTTCCTCACACCCCGCTAGTCCTGACAGGACCAGCGTCTCCTCGCGCGCGCCCACGCACGCTCCTCCGTTAGCTCCTCCACTCCCGCACTCCGCTGGCCGACGGCGTGCTGAAGGTCCTTCGGCCACGTGGCCGATGGCGCGGATCTCCTCTCACCACCCAACGTGGCTCAGCCTCTTTACTCCGCAACTCCCCCGATCTCTTCCGAGCTCCCACTTCTATCCTCTCCCCCACGTGACCCTGACTCCTCCCCTTCCGGATCGTCAGATACGGCCTTCCCATACTGCCCTGCTGGCTCCACCCCCATTCACCTCGCTTCCAATTGGAGCCGAGGTGAACGGCGGCCCCTCCCACACGCCCCCCATACCGGGCTCCGCCCCCCAATAACCCGGGCCGTGTGATTGGGCCAGAGCCCAGCAGCAAACCCCATTTACGCTCTCATTTCACTACAAATAATAGTTCAACGAAGGGGCTTATGTGCAAATTTTAATTAGCCAAATACTATTAAGGCATCTTGAATCTAAATGTAGAGGGGAAAACCAGAGGACCCAGAGAAAAATCCACGCGACTGCGGAGGGAACATGCAAACTCCAAATTTACAGCAGGCGTCAGGGTCGGGATGGAACCCACGCCCTCCTGTATACCACGCCACCATGACACTATACTGCCAGCCACCGTCCAACATTCACAAGGTTCAGAAATTCCCTTCGCGGCCTGCGGAACACGCTGCAGATAAAGTTATATAGGGCGGGCACAGAGTACCCACAGTTCCCAGTGTCCACCCCCTACCCACAAGCCTCACCCTTCCCTACCCACAAGCCTCGTCCCTCACCACTCCCTTATCACAATCCTCACCCTTCCCTACTCCCTACCCACAAACCTCACCCATCCCCTACCCACAAGCATACAGGCACCACTCGCGTGGGCGCAACGTGCACAGGTGCAATGCAGGCAGGCCCAATACATAGTGGCATTGCTCAAGATTGCTTTATCAGATCCTCAGTAAGTCTGCACTCCAGCTAACATTGTAGATCGCGGCGCAGACAGCCGAGTTACATGGAAGCGCTAGAGTTTGCTCTACACGGAGCGTTAACGGCCCGCCTCCATTCCGAGCATGCGTGGAAGCGTGCTCAGCAGCGTCAAAGCGAGCCGCCGTGAGTTGGGCAAGAACGTTGACAGCCCTGACCATGTGGAACGTGGCTCGTTCAGATGGCGTGGCGAGCTTTCACTCACTCTAGCGGCGTTGTGACTCGTTGGGGCCGCTCCGTGTCAATGACCCGCGGCGGTCTCGACTGTTGCCCAGCCCAGGACTCTGGGCCTCAATAGCCTATGCAGAGCCAAAGCCCTCCAAAACGTTGACCTGCAGCATGTTGCGTGGCAGAAAGGGAATTGCTGAATGTTACGAGGAATGTTGGACCAGTGGCTCGTGGTATGGACTAGAGAAACAAGTTTTCCATTCATGAAAAATGTAACGTGATCTATTTGGTGTTTGAACATCTTAAGACATGTTTTATTGCCAGAAAGGGTAAAACTTATTGTTATTCTTTATACTTCGATACTGGAGGAAGGGCCTTTGCTATTGATGCCCCCAGGGTCTGGAATGCTGTTGCAAATAAATTGAAACTTGAGTCACTACCTATGAGATCTTCACTCAAAACTGCTTTAGAGGAGTTGTACACCCCTAGCTGCCAGTGCTATTCAGTGACCTAAAATAAAATGTTTCGCTCCGGATGATCGCTACAAAGTATGACCTGTGTTTTGATTTAGTGTGCTGATCTTAAAGGTGCATTGAAAAATTACAATACTCCGATTGATGCTCCTGCTGTTGTGGAGTGACTCATGCAGCCAGCTATGGCTGCAGGGTTTTGGTAGTACATGTTGTTTATGCCATTTATTGTGAAAATTCCGTCAGTTCCTATGATTGCTTTTTCATTGCCTTCATGGCTTTATTTTGGTGATTTCGAAAAGTGTATTGGTTTAGCCATGTTTGTGTTGTTGTAGTACAGAGTTAGACTGATGGCCTTAATCTAAGTTGTCTTGTGGTTGTTGTTGTTGTTTGACTTGCATCCCACTGGCATTTTTGCACACAGCGTTGGTGTACGGTGTTTTTTCTGAAATATTTTTGCTGTCTTTTCTTGGATTTTCTGTTTGCACTTAGTCACATATTCACTTTAAGATGTTTTTTTTGTTCATGTTTTTGTTTTTTGTTTGTTGCGGTTGCACCCGATTCAAGAGCTGAATGGCTCACAGGGCTATACCTAATAAATGAACTTGAACTTGAACTTGACAACAAGGTCCCATGACAAGTTAAAAAAACAATTCCACAAATGACTAAACTCCCTAAGTCTTCGTAACAGCCGTGCCTCATTGCTTTGTGTAGCAGCGCCACCGTGTGGATGGAGCCTCATAGCACTTGGAGTGTGGCATTTTTTTTATTGTGTGTGGACATCGCGTTGCGGCCTGTGTGTGCGGGGCGTGCAGGCTGAAGGAAATGCTGGAGGAGCGATTTGGTGGGAAACCTCGGCCGCTCTACCCTGAGCGGCCGCTCGCGCAGGGCGGCCGCGGCGCTGGTGTCTGGCACCTATCTTGTCGAGGGCTCTGTACAGCACAAACCACTGCACCTGGGCCACGGCCCGAATCCAAAGCCTCCGTTCTGACGGTCAGATTCAGGTCTGTTCCCGTAGTCGAGTTCACGTTAAAATTTATGCTGGGCAATGAGTTGATTGAAACCTAGAGATGTAAAATAGCAGACAGGTCACTTCTGTCACCAGGCCTTTTAGCTGCGTTCCAACCAAGGCTTTACATATTTCCACACCTCCGATTAGCACAGTTGGCTATGTACGGTGCGAAAGAAGTTCAACATAAATATTCATAAGTTTGTTTACCCCAAGAAGACCTCAAGCTTTCACGACCATTATCCATAATCGAGGTTTTTGGGTTAGACGACGTAAATATGAATGTGTCGTTAAACCCGCCACCGCCAACACAGCCAATTACTGTAGTAAGGTTTGTCACGTAATCAAAACGTGCTAATTCGTTACTAGTTCAGCACACTGGTGTGTTCGACAGTAAACCCCCAACATTTACAATTCAATACTCTTTGGTTCTTTTGGTAAAGTCACGTAGGTATAAAATAAAATTTACAATTCGAGTACGACGTTTTGTCAGTAATTCCAACTCACATCAACAGGCGATAGCCAGGGTTGTTAAGAGCGAAGCAGGAGGATTTCTCAAGAGATAAATGTGATGTCTCACTTGTGGGGCAATTAGGCCGAAGGCCGGGGGGGGGGGAGGTTATAAATGCATATAAATTACAATGGATATCCAATATCGGTTGGGTTATTCATAGGATAATCAACAGACATACATTCACATTATGCATGCACACCATGCATATCCATCCTGCCGTTTTTGGTTGCAAGAAAGACGGGTTTTTTTTATTCCAGCGTTCAGATAGTTGCCCAGTACCAGTTACGTTGCCATGGCGTGTTGTAGGCTGAAGCATTGACGCTAGAGGATGACCGAAACTGAATTTCTGGTTTCGGCCCAAACCGAAACCAGACCGAAAGTTAAATATTGGCTTTTGGCCGAAACCGAAGCCGAAACCGAAAGTTGAACTTCACTTTCGGCCGAAACCGAAAGTTTAACTACACTTTCGACCGAGACCAAAACAGAAAGGTTTATAACCAAAGTTACCGAACACAAGATTTATGAAATACTAGCTTTACTACCCGGCTTCGCCCGGGACTTGGATTCACCACGGCCAGCTGCCTTTGTCTCCCCAGTGGCGATGTTGACACACCACTTACTCGTTTGAGGCTGAGTCGACCTAGGGGAGGCCCAGGACCAGTTCAAATAATCGTCACCGGCGGTGGCCATGAGTGGGAATTGAACTTTGGTCGTCGGGTTCGTAGCGCAGCGCGCGAATCGCTACGCAGTCGCTGCCCCCCCCTACATACACACAGGATAAGGACAAAAATCCACCATGTAGCCTGTGAGACTGTAGGGGGCAAGTGCTGTTAGCGAGTACCTATGAAGGCCGGCATGGCACACGAGGGGGTGGGTGGCCAGCACCACGCCATGTTCGTAGCGCTAAGCGCTACACATGCGCGGGTGACATGACAGATGTGACGTCACAGCTCGCTTGCCGTGCAAAATATATGCATTATTGCACCCCCCCCCCCCCAAAAAAATAATACCAAAGTGTATGCATGGTGTACAGTATGGAAAGTACCCACATGGCAAATTTAAAGTTTGTTGCATGTCGGGAAGTACGCTAAACATTTTGAACAGACACATTCACAAATTTTCATTTTTTATATATAGGTCATGATGCAATGCTACTTTAATAAAAAATGTATCTAGAACTAATCATTCAGAGCCTGCAGTAAGAGTCGTTAAATATCAAATCTTTAGGTGTTACTTGGTGATTATATCTAAACAAACGAATGTTGTAGTTAAGAAATACCAGTTTTTCCGCATTCTCGCCCAGCAGGTTGCTGTTTCTTGCATCAGAATCGACTTTAGTGATTAACTGCTCCGTTTATTAAGTTTAATTTTCTACTTCACTCAGATTCGTAATTTTGTTATCACTAATTCGCTACGTAACTATTAACTAACTGAATAACAATATTGTCAGATTTCAATTTAAAGCTTTCGTGACTGCAGGGATTCATCTTCTTGGTTCTTTCGGTAAAGTCACATAGAAGGGAAATAATAAAATAATAAAAATAAAACATAATAAAATAATTCTCACGACGTTTCAGCCACAACGCAAGCAGCTGTCCTCAGGTGAAGAATTCTTCATTTTTTTATTATGTTTTATTTTTATTATTTTATTACTTCCCTTCTAAGTGACTTTACCGAAAGAACCAAGAAGAATATTGTCAGACTTCGAATCTCTGTATCAACACGCGTGTAGACTGAAGAGAACGCAACACATAAGCCAAGGCGGGCAGGCGGCTGGAAACAGACAACAACGGCACTTTGTTGTCGTCCCGCCAAAGAGACTCCACCCACGGATGCAAAAGCAGGCTGCCGTCTGTTGACATTAACAGACCATCGTTGCGGCTGTAACCTCGCTCCCAAGCTGCTGCTGATGTGTTTTTGCAGCCTATCGCAGGATTGCCTAGCGCCGACTGACCGGCCGATAGGCAGAGAGATAAACGTAGCACTAGCGTTATATTCTAAAAATAGATCTTCGGTTGACCGAAAGTCAATATCAGGTTCGGCCGAAATCGAAAGTAAACCGAAAGTAAAAAATGTACTTTCGGCCGAAACCGAACGTATGTCGAAAGTGGCCATTTGCCAACTTTCGGCACCGAAACCGAATTTCGGTCGGCCTTTACTTTACGCATCACCTCTGTGCGACCGACTGGGGATCGCAGCAACTTGAAAAGGTGATCAAATGTACAAGAGGGGTTGGTATGAATCCTATAGCTATTTGGGACTTAGCTTGGAAAAACAAAACCAAGCATGTGTTTATCAAAGGATTATTCAATATTGGGCCAAAACAGGATTGTTGATTACAGTAGACTCTCCATTTTCCACACTAATGACCGGGAGGATGGCCACGGCTAATTCAAAATCGTGGATAATCCCAAATATTCATCTTCCGTGGATCTCTATGCCAAAAACCACTAAAGTATAGTGGTATAAGTTATGTTTAAGTTAAGAAAATTGAGTTGGTTAATGAATTAAACTAAAATTGTAGAACTCACGATAGATCGATGTGCGTGCTCAATGATAACAATTTCCTGCTTCCGCGCAGACGACTCGGCCCACAAAGGGGACAGCAGCAGAGCCACGTCAATCAACATCAATCATTGCAATGGACAATTTTACGTGATTGCATTTACTGATCTGACCGAGGTGGTGGCACGTGCCTGTAAACTCATGGGGCTGACAGGTGGCAGTATAGAAAGTTGGGGCACGTGACTTGTCTGTGCGGCCCTGTGAATGTTGTCCCCTTGTGCTCGTGGGCTTTCGCTCATTACTCAGTGCTGCAAAGCAGTGGCAATGGGAGCCAAGTACAGTAGACTCTCGATTGTTCGCGCTAATTAGGGGAGGACGGCTGCACTAAGACCCATAGAATCATACACAGACACACAGCCTCACAGCCTCACACAGACACCCATTGACTCACACAGAAACCCAAAGACTCACGCAGGAACAATATACTTGCACAATGACCCTTAGAATCTCACACAGACACACAGCCTCACACAGACACCCATTGACTCGCACAGAAACCCAAAGACTCGCACAGAAACAATATACTTGCACAAAGACCCATAGACTAACACAGCGACGCATAGACTCACACAGAGACCCATACACTCACATAGGGACAATATACTTGCACACAGACACAGACACCGAGACCCAATGACACACACAGAGAAAAAAATCCCACAGAGACCCATAGACTCACACAGATACCCATAGACTCACACAGAGACCCATAACCTCACACATAGACCCATACACCCACACATAGACCCATACACCCACACAGAGACCTATAGACTCAAACATATACCCATAGACACACACAGAGACCCATAGACTCACACAGAGACCCATAAACTCACACAAAGACTATACTTGCCCAAAGACCCATAGAATCACAGGAAGACACATTGGCAAACACAGAGACACAGACTCGCACAGAGACACAGACACCCATTGACTCACACAAATACCCAAAGACTCACACAGGGACAATATACTTGCAAATAGACCCATGGAATCAAAAACCCATAGACTCACACAGAAACAATATACTTTCACAAAAAACCAATTGACTCACACAGAGACCCATAGACTCACACAGAAACAATATACTTTCACAAAAACCCATTGAATAACACAGAGACACAAATACACACACAGACCCATGGACACACACAGGGACAATATACTTACAAAAAGACCCATAGAATCGCACAGGGACATTAACTCACACAGAGACAATAGACTCACAAAGGGACAATATACTTGCACAAAGACCCATAGAATCATACACAGACACACAGCCTCACACAGACACCCATTGACTCACACAGAAACAATATACTTTCACAAAAACCCATCGAATCACACAGAGACACAGACATACATCGACTCATAGATTCACACAGGGACAATATACTTGCACAAAGACCCATATAATCACATAGAGACCCATAGACTCACACACAGACACACAGCCTCACACAGACACCCATTGACTCACACAGAAACCCAAATACTCACTCACTGGGACAATATACTTGCAAATAGACCCACAAAATATCACACAGACACACAGCCTCACACAGACACCCATAGACTCACACAGATACCCATAGACTCACACAGAGACCCATAACCTCACACATAGACCCATACACCCACACATAGACCCATACACCCACACAGAGACCCATAGACTCAAACATATACCTGTGGGGGCCGTTGGCCCCCGGGGTCCCTCCCGCCTGCATCCCCTATTCCATTTACGTTACCCCACCTCCTTATTTACCCGCTACGGTTTCGCCGGCATTCGAACACGACGCCCCTACTGTTACAGCCTCGCGCCGCGCTCCCACGCTGCGAGCATACGTGCGCACAGCATCATCAATCAGACGGCACACTCCCCCTCTTTACACCGCTACGTACAGCTCTCGCACGCTGCGAGCGTGTGCCCGTCTATAGCCCTGTGCGGCACTCGCCTCCACGTCGAATAACCACGTTACCAATGCGCATCCGTATCCGACACATAACGAACGTATGCGCACTCACGCATACAGCTCCCCGCGGCACTCCCTCACCACTGAATACTCGCGTTATGATCGCGCACCTGTATCACACACGGAGTGAACACACGCGACACCCACTCTCGCGCCACTCTGCGCAGCGCTCCCCCGAGGCGAGCCGCAGCACTACACTCACCCCTGACTACTCGCGTTATGATCGCGCACCTGTATCGCACACGGGGTGGACGCACGCACACACACGCAGCTCCCCACGCGACACACTGCTCAACAAGATCACGCGAGACCACGCTTCGCTATTAATGATTTATTATCTGCTACCTGCGAATTAGATGTTAAATCAGTGAGTCGACGAGGCTGGCCTACGCTGATACCTTTATACCTATTCCCGATTTATCTGCTATGATTCTAATTCACCTTCTTACTCACTGTTAGAAGTATTCGGCGTCCTGTGGCTTTTCCTCTATGCCGTCGCGACACGTCACGCGGACGTCCGGAGGGCAGAGCTGGGAGCCAACTTGCACGCGTGCCTCTTGAAGAGAAGTGAGAGCCTCTCCCTTGCTGCGATCCCTTTTATCCTCTGTCCCGTACTCCCAAAGGCGCTCCGCTCATGAGCGGCGCATATGCTAATTAATCCTCTGTCCGCGCGGCGTAAACTCTAAACAATCGCTCGCGCACCTCCTGCACGCGCACGGCGGCTCCGCAGCGCCCCTGACACGCCAATCAATGTCCTGCCCGCGCGGCGCAAACTCCAAACAATGGCTCGCGCACCTCTTGCACGCGCACGGCGGCTCCGCGGCGCCTCCACGGTGCTTTTAAATGCTAATCAGTGTGCGGCGTGCGCGGCGTAAATCCCAATTAATCCCTTACCCTCCCTAACAATGGGGCCTGCGCGCTCAAGCGCAACCATCCCAACCTTCCGTGACTATGCGCAAGAGCCCCTGCGGTCCTGCTACTCATGCTATCCCGTCCTTCCCCTGCTTGTCTCGTCGACCCGTGGGGGTGTGTGTGGGGGGAAATGCGCCTCAACCGCGGTGGCCGAATGCCCCACGCCGCGACCACACCACACTAAGGCCAGTCGCAGCGCCGCGGCGCAACGTAGCACGGGGGAGGTCGTCCAATTCCCTGATCGCCGGAAACCGTGAGAGTTAATCCCGATAAGGGTTTCTCGGATAAAAACCGGCCGATCAGGTGATCTCCCCTTCCAGCTCTATGGGAGGGGGAAAATGCGTGCGGGTGTGTTCATGTGAGGTGAGGTGGGGGGGACGCGGGGTCGGCTCCGTTGCTTGGTGGTGGCGAGGTCGGGGATTGGGCGCCTCCCGAACGGCTTCGTGGCGGCGGCATCACATACCCATAGACACACAGAGACCCATAGACTCACACAGAGACCCATAGCTCACACAAAGACTATACTTGCCCAAAGACCCATAGAATCACAGGAAGACACATTGGCAAACACAGAGACACAGACTCGCACAGAGACACAGACACCCATTGACTCACACAAATACCCATCGAAACACATAGACAATATACTTGCAAATAGACCCATAGAATCTCACACAACCACACAGCCTCACACAGACACCCATTGACTCGCACAAAGACCCATAGACTCACACAGAAACAATATACTTTCACAAAAACTCATTGAATAACACAGAGACACAAATACACACACAGAGACCCATGGACACACACAGGGACAATATACTTACAAAAAGACCCATAGAATCGCACAGGGACATTAACTCACACAGAGACAATAGACTCACAAAGGGACAATATACTTGCACAAAGACCCATAGAATCATACACAGACACACAGCCTCACACAGAGACCCATAGACTCACACAGAAACAATATACTTTCACAAAGACCCATTGAATCACACAGAGACACAGACATACATCGACTCATAGATTCACACAGGGACAATATACTTGCACAAAGACCCATATAATCACAGAGACCCATAGACTCACAGAGACCCATAAACTCACACAAAGACAATATACTTGCACTAAGACCCATAGACTCACACACAGACACACAGCCTCACACAGACACCCATTGACTCACACAGAAACCCAAATACTCACTGGGACAATATACTTGCAAATAGACCCATAAAATATCACACAGACACACAGCCTCACACAGACACCCATAGACTCACACAGACACCCATAGACTCACACAGAGACCCATAACCTCACACAAAGACCCATAGACTCACACAGAAACAATATACTTTCACAAAAACCCATTGAATAACACAGAGACACAAATACACACACAGACCCATGGACACACACAGGGACAATATACTTACAAAAAGACCCATAGAATCGCACAGACATTAACTCACAGAGACAATAGACTCACAAAGGGACAATATACTTGCACAAAGACCCATAGAATCATACACAGACACACAGCCTCACACAGACACCCATTGACTCACACAGAAACCCATAGACTCACACAGAAACAATATACTTTCACAAAGACCCATTGAATCACACAGAGACACAGACATACATCGACTCATAGATTCACACAGGGATAATATACTTGCACAAAGACCCATATAATCACATATAGATACCCATAGACTCACACAGAGACCCATAAACTCACACAAAGACAATATACTTGCACTAAGACACAGACTCACACACAGACACACAGCCTCACACAGACACCCATTGACTCACACAGAAACCCAAATACTCACTCACTGGGACAATATACTTGCAAATAGACCCATAAAATCTCACACAGACACAGCCTCACACAGACACCCATTGACTCACACAAAGACCCATAGACTCACACAGAAACAATATACTTTCACAAAAACCCATTGACTCACACAGAAACCCATAGCCTCACACAGAAACAATATACTTTCAGAAAAAAACCCATTGAATCACACAGACACATAGACATACACACAGACCCATAGACTCACACAGGGACAATTTACTTGCACATTGTCCCATAGAATCACACAGAGACACATAGACACACACAGAGACCCATAGACTCGCACAGGGACAATTTACTTGTACTTTTCAAATATACTGCCACCACCTCCTCTTGTTTGCCCGTCTCATCAACATATATTCAATCCTTAAATTTCTATTAGGCTAGGGAATTATACGTGAGGTAAGCCATGTTTCAGACAGACAGAAGATGTCTGGATAAAGATGATTGAATTCAATCTTGAATTGCTCAAATTTTGCTTTCTGGCCTCTAATATTGATGTGGGCAATGCCAACACCCTGTCGGTATTTTAAATCTATTGAGTTACATGGTGAGTGATGGGGAAGGTGTGGCACTAATGCAACCAGGATTGGTTTGAACACCCAACATAATCAACAATATAAACATTGATTGTTTTAGAATGTATTTTCTACTAGAGTGCCATCCTAAATGGCGTTTTCTGGCATATAGAGAGGTATGTTTGTGATTCATATTTAAGCTTCATATAACAGGAGGTTACGTATGAAACAAATATGAATTGTAGAATATTGAAGACTGCAAGAACAAAATGAACATAATATAGGAGATGCATTGTTTGAGAAAGTATGTGGGTTTGTTGTGTCTGATGAATGAGGTCACATTGTCAGAGAATTTGATGGGTTGGCTGACAATGGGGTAAAAAGACAGCTGATTTACTGGGTGGGAGACCAGCAGCAGTCTGCTCTACCGGTCCTCAACAGCCCAGTAGCAGCACATACAGCAGCCAGGGGAGGACCTCTTTCGAGTGGGAGCTCATCCCAGGGTCTTGACCGCGATCTGACAGCTGAGCTCGGGTGGGTTGAAGATGCGCATGAGGTCCCCAAGCTGGTGGAGCGGCACGCCGCCCATCCAGCTGTAGTGCCATAGATGGGCCACACTTACCAGCAGTGGTGGACAGGGCCCATCTGCAGGTAGCTCGAACCCCCAGGGGAGGGGCCACTGTACCAGCCCAAGAGGGGCGGGGCTTGCTGGGGGCTCTCGGATCCTAGACAGCTAAGCCCCTTGGCGCCACCAATGGGGGGGGGCTGTGTGTGCTCTGTGGGGTATCTAGGGGCACACACAATCCCACCCCTCGATGGGCAAGAGGCATAAAAGGGCCGCTCCCTGGTCGATCGGGGCCAGTCGCAGCTCAAGTCCCAAGACCAGCCAGCTTAGGACCCTGGACCCCCTCGTCCCGCTTGTCCTTGTAAGGGCCGGGACGCTGTGCGGGCCAGTGGTGGGACTCTGGGACTCCCGGCTCTACGTCCTTGCAAGGGCGAGTTCCGAGGAAGCCAGAGTCTAGACCCGCACCTTGGCTGGGTCGGGTCAGGTAGCCTCCCCTCGGGTAATTGTAGCCGGAGGACCCCAGAGCGTAGCTAGAGTCAGGTACGCTAAGAGTAGGCTGTGTCGCTAGGCTGTGTCGCTAGGCTGTGTCGCTGGCTGTGTACCTAGGCTGTGTACCTAGGCCGTGTACCTAGGCCGTGTACCTAGGCCGTGTACCTAGGCCGTGTACCTAGGCCGTGTACCTAGGCCGTGTACCTAGGCTGTAACAGAGTATCAGGACTGTTGGAGTGTTGTATTATAATAAAGAAGTTACCTCTACAAGTGTCTCCGGAACCCATTACACAGCTGCTGCTGGATAACTGGATGCGCATCTTGGCCGCCAGCTGCTCGGCCTCACTGCGTGTTCGGCACAACAGCGCCTCTACGCTGAAGCCATTGTTAAGCAGCAGTGACACGAGCAGCCGGGCCGTGAGCCCCATGTTGAACACCCCCCACATTTGGGCAGCCTGGCTCCCTCGCTTTGTCTCTCCCAGCTCCTCATCCTGGTCCCAAGCTTGAGTCTCTCCCAGGGGTCCCAGGTGATGGTGATGACTGGTGGTGCTGGTTACTCTTATTGGTGGTGACTGGTGGGGGTGATTGGTAGTGAAGATGACTGGTGGTGATAGTGACTTCGTGGTGACTGATGGTTACTATTGATGGTGGTGGCTGATGGTTGTGCTAGCGGTAGTGTAGAGGTTAACGCGCTGTGCAACATATGTATCGATCCGAATTCGATTTCTGCTCATGGCCAACGAGAGTGACGATTATCTTAACTGTTCCTGGGCCTCCCCGACGTCGACTCAGCCTCCAATGAGTATGTGGTGTGGTGTGTAAACATCTCCACTGGGGAGAAAAATGCTGCCAGGCGTGTTGCTGGCCACCTAACGTCGTGTACTGTGCCGGCATTAATAGGTGATCACTAACAGCACTTGCCTCAACAGTCTGTTAGTTAAGTATATACGGGGGATCTTTTTTTATATGATGATGAGCATGATGGTGGTGATGTCTAATAGTGCTCCAGTGTGATGATGGTGATGACTGTAACATAGTGATTGAGATGATGATGCAATGGTGGTGGTGGTTGGAGGTGACTGATGAAAGTTGCTGTTGTGATGGACCTGTCTCCTTGTCACACCTCTCTACTCAAACTTACTCACCTGGGTCTGTCTCCTTATCACACTCACCTTTACTTATGTAATAAAGGTCGTGGAAGCGACTTCTGGAATCCGGTCTTTATTTGTCTTTCGTTCACAACACTCCCATCTTACTCCTTCACGCTGCTGACAGACAGCGTGAGAGGGAGAGAGAGAGACGCGCGCGGCCACGTGGCAGCCTGGACCCCGCTCCAGCGTGGCCTCACCCTCCGTTCCAGATCTGACCACGTGTTGTCCGTCTCCACCCCTTTTAATACCCGGGTCACGTGGTACCTTTCCACCAATCCTGGTTAACCTCTATAGAATCTTCTAGACTCCATCGTACGCTCCCAGGACCACGCCCCTGACTCGTCCCCCCATTGGCTGTGGCTAAAGCCAGCAGAACCAATCCTCTACTTACAGATGTCACCTTCCCATTACGTCAGGGCCACGCCCCTAGACTTCCCCCCATTGGCTATGGGCCAGGACCGGCAGAGCCAATCATCGTAACGAGGTGTGATCCATCAGCAACCCGGATATATCCTCACATTACAATTACACTCCTGTCTCTACCCATACTCATCTGGATTTGTCTCTGTCACACCTCTCTACCACGTTCACTCACCCTGGGTCTGTCTCACTGTCACACTCACCTTTCTACCCACACTCACCTGGATCTGTCTCACTGTCACACTCACTTCTTCCCACGCTCACCTTGGTCTGTCTTACTGTCACACTCACCTCTCTACCCACACTTATCCGGGTCTGTCTCACAGTTGCTGCTCATCCTCCCGTCGTCAACACTGAAGTATTTCCGAACAACACGCGGTTCAACCCGAAAGCACTTCAGAGAGCTACATGGGCTCAAACCCCAGGCCCTACACAGTCCTGTGATGCGTCTTATTTTTATTATCCATATTATGTGTGGCAAAGGCATGTGGCAGACTAAAAAATATAACACAAGGCTGTCCATACAGGGTGTTAGGCCTGGGGCAAATCACAGTGTGGGCCCCCCGACGCCTTCAAACTCAACCGGAAGTTTTACATCTGACTCCTCTATGACATTGAAGCGCAGGGCCCCCCCAATGCTCGCGTACACATTGCAGACCTCCTAGTAAATCCATGCTTTGACGTGGACCTCCCCACGCCGTGCAGGTCGAGGAGGTTAGTTGACTGAATGTTGCCATGTCGCTCCGTGTGGGATGGGGAGGGAAGCTGCTGCCTCGGGACCAGTTTAGACATCGCTCATCTCTGATGTTGACCTTGGCCAAGAATCCAACGTCGATTTGCTGGGTTCACAAGGTGGCGTGCTAACCGCTGTACAGGAGCTCAATGGTCCTGTGTTGCATCACAGGACCAATGGGAGATGGTGATGAGTCGGAGACCTTTATTCAGCAGATGATGGTTGATGAAGATGATGATGGCAAAGTTGACTTATTTCACCAGCTACTGAACATTAACCCGTGTGTTTGTAACAAAGCCCTAGGTCCTCTGCCACTCCATCGCAAATCGCACATTGGCACAGCTGGTGGTGGTGGTGGTGGCGGAGCATCGCGTGACGCCGGCGCTGCGAGTCTCGGCCCCACAGGGCGCTGGCTGGGCCGGGTGGAGGAGCCGCGTGAGGAAGCATGTCACCCCCTGTACCCAGGCATGGTGAGCATGCAAGCAGCAGTCCTGTGTTGGCAAGTGCTGTTAGCGAGCACCATGAAGGCCGGCACGGTGCATCAGGGCTGTGGCCAGCACCACGCCAGATTTTCTATGTCTTTAAGGTACGTGTGTTTACGCACCGCATCAGGTACTTGTTTTACTCCGAGTCAGGTTGGACCCACCAACCCGGTTGTCTGCGTGAAGAGCGGTAGTTGCAGTGGTTAGGGCGCTGAGCTACAAACCTGGGAGCCCAAGTTTGATTGCTGTCCACGGCTAACGTTTAATTTCGGTGGTGATTGATATGAACTGGGCTTAGGCCTCTCCTCAGTGTGGTGTGTCACAATCAGCACTCCGGTGACAACGGCGTTGGGGCGTGGTGCTGTCCACCCACCCCTTCGTGCGCCGTCTCAGCCTTCATAGGTGTTGCTCACTAAAGGCACTTGCCTCAACAGTTTGTTAAAGCTATAAAGGGGATCTTTGTTTTTGTAGGTGTCTGTATGTGGGGAGTGGTGGCATAGCGATTACTGCTCTGGGCTACGAACCTGTTGACCCGATTTTGGATCCCACCTATGGCTAATCGCAGTGACGATTATTTGATTTGGTCTTGGGCCTCCCCTAGGTCGACTCAACTTTAAAGGAGTACATGGCGTGCTGTGTAAGCATCGCCACTAGGGATTGAAAGGTGGTCGAACGTTGTGCTGGCCACCCGCTTCGTAGCGTGCTTGCTAACAACACTTTCCCTAAAAGTCTCGTGAGGGCTATATACGGTTTTTTTTTGTACGTGTACAAACATGCTTCTGGGATGAGTGTATGTCAGAGACAATGATCTATAATAATGTTGTTACGTCTTACAGCTGGAATTGATCAATTACATGGAGAACCACATTACAGCCAGGTGATGGTTTATTTTGTGCAGTCCATGACGACCAGGCTGAGACCATTAACTCGCTAGACTTGAGAATCCGCTTTGATCACAGGCGGCTGCCTGGATTCAAACTGAGGTACTCCGTGGTGCCAGTTTAGTGCTATGACCACGAGGTCACTGGGCTGCGTCTAAACATGCCCCCCCCCACGTTATATACATAAGCAGCAACCTGTTTAGTGAGCAGCAGCATTCTTTGAATATTTTGCCAAAGCAAATTGGATTGTGGAACAGTGGGACAGTCCTGCAATTGCTTTCTCTTTAATCCACCAAACATCTTGCCTCACGATTGTGGCGCACCCGATTTCACTGCTTGGTGGACAGAGGCAGGAGGATTTAAGATACTCAATAATTCGTTTCAACTGCTGTGCCAGATGGTGGAGCAGTGGGGCAGTGGAGCACAGGGGCCGTGGGGCAATGGGACAGTGGAGCAATGGGGCAGTGGAGCAGTGGCACAGTGGAACAGTGGATTCATGGGGGAGAGGAGGGGCGGATTTGTCATTAAGAAGGCAAATCGCCTGAATGTTTTCCCACCACCGCTTGTATGTGCTCTGAAGAAGGACCATTTCCCAAAACGTCTCATTGTGTCCTTGTACCGCCGCACACACAGCCGGGACATCGCACGCACAAGCCAAGGCACATTTAACCAACCCAGGAAGCACAAGCAATGCAACGTTATGCTGTGTCCTCAAAGGTTGATTTCACAAAGTTTATGGTAACAACAATAGTATTTATATTCATTATTAACAGGGTGGCCTTGAAACTTGGCACGTGCAGGTTTTGTTCATTGTCTGCACCTGACCCCTCCCGCTCTCTCACCCTGGGTCAGCTGCCCCTTCCATGTCCTGGAAACCATGGCAAGGTCATCCCATGAGGACTGCCTGGATGAAAACCAGCATGAAAGGGGCCCAGTGTGGGGTTGGCTATGCTATTGGGATAGTCCCGTGTGTGTGTGTGAGGTGTCCTGGTAGCAGTCATTCTCCCCTGTAGTCCTGGCATCTGCTGCTCAGCTTCATTCCCCAGCTGTGGTCCCAGTGGCACCGTCTATCTGGGGAACTGTGTGGTGTGTGTGTGGCGTGTATCATGGGGTGGGTGGGTAGTGTGGTGATAGCGGTCATGGTTGGCACCAATCCACGACCACCCCTACTGGGCGGTGAACCTGCCGCCACAAAGCAGCACGCGGCGGAGGAGTGAGGTGATTGCTCTTGCCATGTGAACAAAGCCTCCTCGCTTCCTCTTCTTTTCGTGCATCACCACCTCCTGAACCTCCTCCATCTTCTCCTCCTCTGTCTCATCCTCCATCTCCTTCTCTTCATCCTCCACCACCACCATCTCCTCTACCTTCTCTTCCTGCTCCACATTTGTCTTCGTTTCCATCTTCTCCCCCTTCCCGACCACCATCTCTTCCTTCATAATCTCCTCACCTTCCTGCAGCACCATCTCCACCACCATCTTCTCTTCCTCCTCCACCACCATTGTTTCCCCTTTGTCCATCTTCTCCATGTCCCCCACCACGACCATCTGTTCATCTTTTGTTTTGTCCTGGTCCTCCACCTCCATATTGTCTTTATCCTCTCCCTCCGTGTTCTCCATTGTCTCCATCACAATCTCGTCCTCCTTTGTCTTCTCTTCCTCCGATTTCTCTGCCTCTACCTCATCCTCCATCATCTCTTCTTTCACCACCTCCTTCACCTCCTCCTTTGTCTCCACCATAACCTCTGTCTTTGCTTCAAAGGCCTGGATGAGTGAGGAGGAGGGCTGCGCTGGTTCAAATCTGTGAAGAGACAAAACACGGCACCGTTCCAACTTCCTGCTATGGCAGACATCGCCATCTCTCCATCGTCCGTGTGTGGAATGTGTGGCGGATTAATCTGAGCTTAATATAAACAGCAATAACGACATGGCCAGTGAGTGCTTGGTATTGGCGCTGTCATTCTCATAGCTCAAGGCTATCCTTGAGGTAGGTGCAGCTGTCTCACACAGACTGCTGTAGTTTCAAAGTACTGGGTGGCGTTGCTGTGTAAATTTAGCTGAATAATTTGTCGTGAAATTATTGTTTATATGAATATTCTAATTATTCCCTTGAACATAATGGCCTACACATTTAAAATGATATCGGTGGAGTTTTTGAAAGTCCGCTGTGATGGAATGGATGTGTATCTTTGTGGTTAATGCGGTGGCAGTAATAGCAAGGGCGAGAAGCAAGATCTGAACTGTAAGTGGTGAACGTTGAGTGCGCTACCTTTTGGCCGCGTAAACCCATCCACGATTTCGGAAAGATATCTGACAGTGATTTGTGGTCGAAAGAGCCGCCTCCCTTAACATCGAAGGCATCTCAGAGTGCATTGCACGCGATGAGCCACTCACATCTTGCATCTCTCGTCTCAATACATTTGAAATTGGACACCCCTCCCAGTGGTAGCTGTCTCTGTACATTACAAGGCAACTTGGAAGCTGGCCTGGAGACAGGCCTTAGACTGCCAAAATATCACGATGGATGGAGGGTTACATGGTGAAGATATGGCCGCATCATTATGTGGTCTAACCCAGACACTAATTATGGAAAATATATCTGTCCATAGTATAGCCGAATGTACGCGTTGGGCTTGCTGTGTCTGTGTATTTGTAAATGTGGCAGGGCTGGAGCATCTGTGCCTCACAGCAAGAGAGACCTGGGTTTGATTTCCATGTTTGGCCATATTCTCTCTCTGGAGTGTGTTGCCCCCTATTCTGGAAGGGTGCTGCAGCTTTCTCCCTGTAACTGATCCACACAAGCAATGCAAATTGCCTAATTTGGATCAAAAACAGTAGCAACTTCATTCCCTACTGCGAGCAAACTTGGCAGGACCCTTCTGAAAAAAAGTCTTGAGACTTCGTAAGGCTCGTCCTGAGTAAAACAAGCATAATAATGTTTAACACGTAGGCTTTCGCGACACTTTTTTACTGATTGGCCGTGTCGGGTGGTGGAGGGTTACGACACATTTATAAATAACGCGATCTAAACCCAAAAACGTTGATTATGAAGCATAATAATACAGAAATAAACACACATAGGACACATGCAGAGTGGTTTACCGTGGCTCAGCGGCCCCAGAGTTTGCATTCTCTTCTTGGAAGTCCTCTTCTCCAAAGCTCGGAGCAATCGGGCCCTGCACAAGAGTGGCAGAGGCGACGGTGGCGGCGGTGGTGGTGGGGCTGCTGGCGGTGCTGCTGTTGGTGGTAGCTGTCCGGAGCCACTGTTGCTTCATCTTGGCGAGGCACTGCTCATCCACAGGATGCTTTTCCTCTACAATGTGCTTTTCCTCCATGAAGGGCTCTTCCTCTTGAAGTTTCACCTCAACAAGGCACGTCTTCTCCATGAGGCGCTTCTCCTCCTTGACCCACTTCATGTTGGCAAAGCGCTTCACCTCAGTGAGGTAATTTACCCTGGTGAAACGCTTCTCCTCCAGACGCTTCTCCTTGAGACGCTTCACCTCACGAAGGCGTTTC